TTTCATTCCTTTTTGCAGATGGGAGCCTCCTCGTCGGCCATGCAAAAGAGGCAAGCATCTCTCCTGCATCTTAGAATTGAGACCAATTTTCAGGAGTAATTGTCTCCTATCTCACCTGTTACTTCTCTTAGTAAGTCACTTAGACCCAAGTCTCGACATCTCTCCTGCATCCTAGAGCTGAAAGCCAGTCGAGAGGCCATAATACATTGTCCTGGTCGGATGGGACGACCTCTGACTTAACTGCAGGAATGTCCCTGCTTTGTCTCTGCGCTGCTATTGCGGGTACCTTTCTTTTTTTTTTTTTTTTTTTTTTTTTTAATAGAGGCATGTTTTATTTATTTATTTATTTGTTTGTTTGTTTTTTGTTATACATGCACTGGGTACAGTCAGAAGCGCGGGAGGGTGAGAGAATTCACCAGAGCCAGAGCGGGGAGCAGAGCAGGCAGAAGGACCGAAGCACACTGCTGAGGGGAGCAGCGGGCGGCAGGAGAGGTCTGCGCGCCATGTGGGACCCTCCTCCGGTGGCCGGGGAGCAGCCGGGGATTGAACCGGCGCCACAGAGGCCGCGGGCAGCTTCACAACCCAGCACTCAACCGCTGCGCCACCGGGGAGGCCCGGGTACCTTTCTTTTATTGCTACAGAGACCATAAAATGCTCTATCTCAATTCCATGGGACATGCCCTTAAGCCACATTCTTTATAAACTAGCCCAATTTGGCCATAAGGGCATCTTCTCCAGCTAACCCTCTTTTGTCACAGTTAAGGCAAAAGGTAAAATGCGGGAACTAAGAAGTAAGGGACCCACTACAACTGGCTGGTAAAAAAAGACTGCCTTTGATCTCAGCAAGCAGCTGCCTGGACTTTTTCTCCAGTGATAAGATTATAGGTATGTCTCTGCTGCCTTCCAGTTGTGGGGGGACTGGACTCTCCCTTTGTCCACCTTGAAAAACTGTTTTGGTTCATGCTAGGGAAAAAGCTCTATTTCCCTGTGTTTTTCTGATTTTAAAGTCTAGACTGTTAAAGGTAAAAACTGCTGAGTTACTTTGGACTTGCTAACGAGCTATAAAAGGTGATTTTTGGTTGAGTAAAAACTTCTAAATTGCTTATTGGACCTGTAAAAGTTTGGTTTCTTATTAAGACTAATTAATTTCTGATAAGAGTCTAAAAACAGGCAAACTGTAAAGAACTTATTCTTCCTCTTCTCCTGTCCTTCCCATACATACATGGTTCTGAAAAAAAAAAAAGTCTTTTGTCTTAAAAATGTGCTTGGTCTCAGTGAAACAAAACTAAAACAATGTAAAGCCAAATGATAATACTTAAAAATACAAACTCAAAATGCTTGACTTTAAAAATTGTTGTTTTCTTGGTTGGACCCTAGGTTTTAAGTAAGGGTTAAAATTGGATACTTGTTCTATGAAAGGATTCTAACTTCTATGTCATTAAAAACCTGCTTGATATAAAAAGGATATTAAAAACTTGGCTAAATGGATGTGTCAAACTCAAACAAATAGATACTAAAGAACTGGAGTTTACTGACTTGTAGTTTCCCAGTGTCTTTACAAATATTGGTAAAAATAACTGTTTCTTAAAATTACTGCACATGGCCAAAAATTTTAAATAAAAATCAAGAGATCTCTTTGTTCTTACTTTTTGCCTCCGGAGGATTAATTATAAATGGTGCCTATAAAAAAAAATCCTAAATTTTGAGATCGTGATCTAAAATTGTGGTAAAGAAAAACTAATTCAAAATTTAATGGTTTAAAGCATACATGCCTTAAGGTTTTAATGTTGGTATTAATACTGTACTTTGTTTAAATGTGTTTACTCATTTGTATGAGTATACAAAGGAAATAATAATTAACCTGGCCTATGCTAACAAACTTACTTCTAGGCTTTTATCTAAACTTCTCTTGATAAGATCTTGTTCCAGGAAGACTGATCTACTTGTCTTTTCCTCTTGGAGAAAACAATACATTCTCCCAGTAAATGACTATATTTCTTTACAAAATTCAAGGTAACATCTAAAGTCATATGGACAAGTTACTGAAAAATGTTTATGGTATTAAGTGTCTAATTTTTTTCTTGCTTTTGTCAATCTATCTAGTGCTTGCCTAAGAAAAACTTGGTATATAAAATTGATACAGTGGCAACTCTGCAGTTGACTTAAAATTCCAGTTCTAAGGAAAAACTAAAGCCAAACTAAGGTTTTTGCTAAGTTTAGTAAAAAAAATTATTAACCATTTACTGAACTTTCAGGTTTACATTTTACTCCTTATTGTAAGAAAACTAAAGTTTAATGTCATCCCAAATAAAAAAAATTAAAAGATGTGTCTGTGTGAGTTGTGTAGTCTAAAGAGATGATAATGTAACAGCTATTATGGTGTCTTACAATGCAAAGATTGGAAACTAGGGTGTGATAATTCTGGATACAAGTAAAGTGAGGTGTGTTTGTGTTTTAAAAGGAAAAAAAAAAAAGGGCAAAGGAGAGTGTTAAAGGTCTGAGTGAGGGATTTTTGACAGAAAATTTTTTTGCTCTCGAGTAACTTGCCATGAAATATTTTGGTTAACTTAAATGTCAGTTGTGCACCTGTGTGGCACCAGGCTTTAGTTATTTTGATATATAAAATTGTTTCTTGTTGTGAAAACAAACTGAGTCAATCTGGTATATTAATACCTCATAGAAAGTATTCTTATAGAATTGTTTCACCTTTTTGACATAAATTAAACAAATAAAATTATTCTAAAACACATAAGACTTCTTAAAACCTAATAAGCCAGTCATTTCAGGCTAAATTTACTGAGGCTATAAAAAGGTATACTAATCTAGACCCTAAAAAGGACAAACAATTTAACGGTCTCGGTCTCCTTCATTAGTTAGCCTTGCTCTGACATCAGGTGCAAACTCCAGAGACTAAATCAAGGGCCTAAAATCCTTTTAACACTTTTAAACACGGCCTTCAAGGCCTACAGTAATATGGAGGGGACTAGCTAGACTAAAAAGAAAGGGAGAAAGGCAAGAGAAGGGCCAGTAAATGGCAGTTGCCATTGTTAGTACCCTGCTACCTCAGACTCACCCAAGGCCCCATGCGCCCTAGGGCATTTGGGACCTCAACCTCTTAATGGGCTGCCAGCTTACTTCCACTGCCTGCAACCAGGACACCTCACCTGCAAGAAGCTGTCCCTAGGGCCATGCCTTCTGTGCCATCACACAGGGCACTAAAAAAGGGACCGTCCCACTCTCCAGGGAGGGAGGGGCCAGCCCAAACCACGGGCCAGGATGGGAGGACAGGCTTGACTGTCAGCTGCCTCTGACTATGAAGAACCCGGTGCACTATACAGTCCCACTTTATTTCTGTTCTTTTTCTCCTCAATAAACTTTTCTTTCTCTAAACAAACCTGCCTCTTCTCGCTTGCTTGCCTGAGCGTCTGCGAAGTTCCTGCTGCGGCTTCGTGAGACACCAACCCGTGGGGGTCTAGTGGCTGGGGCTCAGCGCTGCTCCTGCAGCCGGGGATCTTTCCTGGCTGGGAGACTAGGCCTGACAATTCCGGTATCACTATGAAGTGATCTGCAGCCTCTGCAGCACGAGTTCTATCCCCGGCCAGTCAGGCGGCCCAACCCACATGGCACAGCAGACCTCTCCTGTTCAGTCTGTCTCTGGTGAATCCTCTTACCCCCGTATCTCTGGCCTGTACCCTGGCTCTTATATGCAAAATAAATAAAACTAAAAAATGCTTTAAAACGTTATTTGTCATTAAATTATCAGTTGATCTGGGGAGAATGTGATGGAGAGCAGGCTACACATATAGGCCCATTGGTGACCTTCTCACTGAGAAGTTGGATGGGGTCGTTCGTGGCTGGTCACTGAGTAGTCCACTTCCATATATGTCACATGTAATTTTTGTGTATCAAACATTATAGAACTTAACATTTAACATAAATAGCAGTTGAATAACACACAGTAATTTTATATGGTAAACTGAAAATTAACCTCTTCCCAAATTAATAACTTGCTTGTAATAAGTTGTTGTTATAGTCAAAAGGAAAAATATAAAGTTTTTATTTTCTTTTGGTTGACATAACAGCAGCTGATAACACCGAGATTAAGTAATACGTTTTCCCACCACTGATCATCCCCCCCACCCCCCACTCCCACCCCATTCTACCCCACCCCCACCCATGCCTTCCTCTCCAGCAACCACAACTGTTGCAAACGCCTAAAGTTTTGGTTTTGGTTTTGTTTCCTTTGTTCATTCGCTTTTCTCCTTTGAAAAATATAACATTCAGAAAAAAGAAAACAGAATGCTTTATTTTAAAAAAAGGAAAAACAACATTTTGAGGAAAAGAGATATGCAACTACTTTCTTGCCTTTAAAAGTCACCAACATGTACAAGATTGTTAGCAGATTACAATTATATTAATATTAAAAATAGCACACCTTCAAGCAGTGGTCTCATTTGATTTTTACAAAAATCCCACTTCGAGGACACTATACAGTCCACTGAAAAAGACACTAAGCTCCCTCAGAAATCTTGTCTCCTGTAGATGGCAAACAATTAATTCCCACTCTGCCATTATTTTATTGGACACCTCATTTCCTTCTTGTGTCCAGCACACACTTTAATATCTTAACACAGTGAATGACAGCAGCAGTTATACACTGACTACCTGCTTGCTGAGTGCCAGATACAGACGCCAAGTTCATGTACATGGAAGTGACTGATTTCACGTAACCCTCCGAAGTAGGACGACTGTCCCTTAAGAAGACAGGAGAAAAGGGAGACTCAAACAGATTCAATCACTTGCCCCACATCAAGGGGCTAGTTGAAAAACCAGGACTACAATCAAGGCCCATTTGACATCAAGGTCAATGTTTTTAACCACTGTTTAACACTGCCTCCTGCAAAAATAATAATAAGCCTTCCTAAAATGCCTTTCCAGCATCTTCTCAAACGCCAAGTAAGCAGTGCTCATAAAGACCCCATTCTATGTGACACACTCACCTTAGGGGTTTTTGGAATCATATCCTTCAGAATGAAGACCATTTCCTCTAAGTTCTCCTGGTTGATATCTTCTGATAGTTCATATAGCAGGGTTCTAAGACATACGAAATAGCAAATAAAGCCCCACAATTGCAGAGGACAGTAAATCAAGTGCTTTTACAAATGGTATCTCTTATTAAAATTATCAAAACCTGTGAGTAACCAATTTTTTTTTTGAGTAGCCAATTTTTAATCCTACTTTTTAGATTCAAAAACTATAACTCTGAACTTGAAAGTGACCTATGATATCACAATAACACAGGAGCAGCAGGGGCTGGCCTTCTGGATCCCAGTCCTGTGCTGTTTTCCATCAAACTAAGAAGACATAAAACAGCTTCCGTAAGCCCACATGGCTCCTAGCTGTGCTTTGGAAATTCAGACCTACTTTACAGACCCTCCTCTGAGTGGTCCTGATGCTAGTCAATAGAGAGTCCAATACTGGAAAAAAGGAAACTCCCCCAACTTCTGGGTAGTCAGAGAATGAACAAAATACCTATATTTTACCTCTCTGTTTCACCCAAAAATGTATAAAAATCTATAATTAGACATGGCATAAACGACCCTATTCTGGAGACACATCATCCTTTTTCATTTTGTTTATTTGGCTCCAGGTGTGCATTATTCTTTTCTCAAATTCCTGGATACAGTGGACTCATATCTAACTCACAGGAGGAAGGATTGTCTAAGAATGCGGAGGATAGGAAAAAGTAAGCCACAGGCCCTGCTTCGCTGAAGTAGACTTCTTTTTTGCTAAATAAATGGAAGCCACTACCAGGCCCAGATCTGGGTTTTAAAAGCTTTGCTGGCCTCCCAATCTCATCAGCAGCTGAAGGTGAGAGATGTCCTGGTTTAGAATTACTGTATCATGCAAGGAAGTAGATAAGAAGATTTTAATCCCAGCCTCCTTTCTAAACCCAAAGGCCTAAAGGAACCCTAAATGGAAAGCCCTCCTGTTTTGATCCCAGACCCCAACTTACCTGAACAGAGAAATTCTCCTTCGAGTGGGCAGCAAATGCTCCACTTGCTCTTTGCTGTAGTCAAGGTGCCGCAGCAACAAAAACTGCTTGATGGTATACAGGAGTTCTGCAAGGAAGAAGGGATCTTCCTCACTTAGGCACTCCTCAGCCAAGAGATGGTCAAAAATGTTCAAGGCTGACTTGCAATTCTCTAGCTTCTTCGGGGAGACAAAAACTTGGCAGAGAAACTTTAGATGTTCCACTTCTTCCTCCTCCAGCTGTGAATCGATCTTCAGAAGCTTCATTCGAAAGCTATTATCCAAAACAGATGTCTGACCTTTAGACATCATGACCAGCCTGGAAGAGAAAAATGGCAACGTAGTATGTTAGAGAGTATGGATATAGACCCCAACTCCCCAGTCTGCCCACCAGATCCAGGCCCCCTCTATTGCAGGCATTAGATTTTTCTAGAAGTGCTGGGAGGGGGCAGATTTTTTGCAAGGGTTGAGAGTGATACCGGAATTGTCAGGCCTAGTCTCCCAGCCAGGAACGGATCCCAGGCTGCAGGGGCAGCGCTGAGCCCCAGCCACTAGACCCGCCACGGGTTGGTGTCTCACGAAGCAGCAGCAGGAACTTCGCAGACGCTCAGGCAAGCAAGCGAGAAGAGGCAGGTTTGTTTAGAGAAAGAAAAAGTTTAGTGAGGAGAAAAGGAAACAAATAAAGTGGGACTCCCAGCCCATGAAACCAGGCCTGGGAGGGGCAAAGAAGCCAAAGTGGAGTCCTGTCTCAGGGAATATATACCTTCTTTCCCTCATTATTCTAAAGCTCCACCAGTCTTTTTGTGATTGGTTAGTTCTAGGCTGTCTCACTTAATGTGCTACTGAGCGGGGGATCTTCACATTCCTTATGGAACAGGTTTGTCTTTCCCCATTTGTTGCACCTTCCCCCTTGTTTGACAGATTTATCTTTATGGCCCAGTCTCCCAGATGAGCACCCCTGCATTCCAGGGAAGAGAAAGTTAAACATCAGCTATTGAAGAAAAACAGGCTGGCGCCCACTGGTGCTGACCCCTTCTCATCTCCCCCTTGCATAAATTTCCCTGCGCTCAGACAAAGGGGAGGACGGTGGTCTACCAGACATGAGTCTGCTGCCCTCCTAATTTGTCCATAAATTAAACCACTCTCCATTTCCCCAAACTCCACATCCCTTTATCACCTGAGGGAAACCAAGGCCAGTGTTAACAATGTTGCCCTTGGTCCTGGGATGTTTATTATTCCCAGTGGAATTAATTACATTCCTCTTGTTGCCCTTATCTCTGAAGGCTTCCTAAACTCTTCAGAGGTTCCCTCCTGCAATGTCCCTAAAACTGCCTAATTACCCTAACTTGCTCTAGGATTCAAGAGCAAGTCCAGAAAACTTAACCCCAACACTCTCAAGGTAACCTTTTAGAAAGTCTGAATGGAGTTTTTATGGGAACTCAAGTTACCCTGATTTCTTCTAAATCAAAATGTCCTCAGTGGGAGCTAGTCAAAGTGAAGGTGAAACGGCATGATTTCTGCTTGGAGTTTAATTCATTTCCACCAAATCAGTGTAGGAAGTCGTAAATGACCTAAATATTCGGTGTTTTCTACCAATTTACCAGTTTATGGTGTTTTCTACACTAAATTTCACCCTATTCAGAGAAGGAATGAATTGGCAAAAATTTTCAATACAATATTCCTCACTGAGTTATCTATTCACTATGTAAGACTATTTAGTTATATTATCTATATCACCTAGATATAAGCACTCTCTGTTATCTATGTTCTGTTTTTTGCTATGTTCTCCTTCCTTTAGAAAGTCATGCATGTAGAAGGAAATATAGGCGAAACACTACGGGATTTGCACATCAAAGACATCTTTACAGACACATCACCCAAAGGAGTGATAGTGAAGGCAAAGATAAACAGCTGGGACTACATCAAATTAAAGAGCTTCTGCACAGCAAAAGAGACAATAACAAAAACAAAGAGAAACCCCAACAACTGGGAGAACATTTTTGCACCCAACACTAATGATAAAGGACTGATCACAAAAATCTGCAAAGAGCTGATGAGACTCAGCAACAACAAAGAAAATAATCCAGTCAAAAAATGGGCAGAAGAGCTACAAAGAAACTTCTCTGAAGAGGAAATGCAAATGGCCAACAGACATATGAAAAAATGTTCAACATCACTTGTCATCAGGGAAATGCAAATCAAAACTACCATGAGATACCATCTCACACCAGTGAGAATGGCACATATTAAAAAAACTAGCAACAACAAATGTTGGCGAGGGTGTGGAGAAAAAGGAACTCTTCTGCACTGTTGGTGGGAGTGCAAACTGGTCCAACCACTATGGAGAGCTGTGTGGAGATTTCTGGACCTACTAAACATAGAGCTTCCATATGATCCAGCAATTCCACTCCTAGGTATTTACCCAAAGGACACAGAAACATCAATTCCAAAGAACACCTGCACCCCTATGTTTATAGCAGCACTATTTACAATAGCTAAGCTTTGGAAACAACCCAAATGCCCAAAAATAGATGACTGGATCAAGAAGATGTGGTACATATATACCATGGAATATTACTCAGCATTCAAAAAAGATAAACACATGCAATTTGCAGCAACATGGATGGCGCTGGAAGGGATCATGCTCAGCGAAATAAGCCAAAAAGAAAAAGAAAAATACCGGATGGTCTCACTCATAGCAGGAATCTAGAAAACTTAAATAAGGGACCAGGAAAATGAATATAAGAAAGTGAAAATCAAAATCAACAAAAAACTATGAACCAGAGACACTTTTTGGGGGGTGGGGGGCGGGAGGGGAAGGATTGGGGTCAGAATGGGGCGTTTGCAATTGTATGGGGGAATATAAAAATAAAATTTATTATTTAAAAAAAAAAAGTCATGCATGACTTTCTAAAGGAAGGAGAACAGCAAAAAACAGAACAAGACATGACTTTCTAAAGGAAGGAGAACATAGCAAAAAACAGAACATAAATAACAGAGAGTGCTTATATCTAGGTGATATAGTTATAGATAATATAATTTTCTGGGTTCCTGGTTTTTCAAATTATAAGCAGAAGAACATATTGCACATTTTGTTAGAAAAAGAAAACCAAAAAAGTCATCCTTAATGTGATCATCTGAGATCGTGCCTGCTAGTAGCCCTGTGATAAGAGAAAACAAATGATTGATTTCTGAAGACATCGTCCTATTTTAAGGTCAGCCATTTGCCTCAAAGTTTCCTAAAGATTCTAATCCCATATCTCTTTATTAAACTTTGTCTTGTTGGCGGACTAATATAAAACTTCCTGCTGAGTTGTAAACTTTCATTTTCCAGGGCTGGCTAATATATCCAGGCAGAAATTGCCAGTCTTGGCAATGAGGTTTTTATAAGTTTCGATACATAAACCAAAGGGAAAAGCTGAATTATGAGATCCCAGTAGGAGGGGCTGGAAAGTGGGGGTAGGAGGTCTCGGGTGATGTTAATTACATACCTTCAGATCAAATTCCCCTGATCCTCTGGAAGTTAATGGTTCTGAGAAAAAAATGCCTGAAAAGAAAGTTTTAAAAAAATTAGAATCCTTGGTGAGCTCTGAGTTTCAAAGACAATTCCATTTACCGAGTAAGAGAACTCAAGACTTTGCTTTAGGCTGTGTAAGTGAAAAAGGGATCCGGTTGGAAGCTCTTTCCTAATTTCCTGCTGATGTCATCTCCGCGGGAGACTTTTGACCCTCCTCTTTAGCTGGTGTTAGGAAAACCTAACAAACAGCGTCTCCCAAAGGCAGATTTACACCTTTTTTTTTTATTGTAGAGTTGGGGATTTACCCAAGTAAAGCCAAGGGCTCCTACAAATGACCTCCTGGGAGACACTGAGGGTTCTAGTCGTCTATAAGCCAAATTGGAAGTATTTGCAGGGAACTCAATTAATAGTACAGAAAACTGATAAAATCTCTGCCCTCACAGCACACTCAGTTCAGCAGGAAAGAAGCTTGGAATACATTATTCCACATAACAAAAAGGTTATCTAATACTTATCGTTGCAACTACCATATGTTAGGCATGACTTAGTCATTTAATCAAATCAACAACTCTGTAAGATAAATACTATTACAATGACCCCTCTTAAGATGTGAAAACTGAGACACACAAAGGATAGCTAATTTGTCCAAGATCACACAGTAAGCTAGTGGGTGAGCCAAGATTAAAACTACCAAATTTGGTTCTAAATCACTATACTATAATTTAGCTGATTCAAATGTGCAAAGCTCTGGGAAATACAGAATCTTAGGAAGATTTTTATTTCTGAAAAAAAGTAAAATTTATAGTATTTCATTAAATATATAAATATATAAAATATATTTTAAAATAATAAATATATGATATAGTAAAGCATCATTTCCATATCCTAGGTATTAAGCAGGGAACTTCTCTGTTTAAGAAAAGAAGTCCTTGTGGTGATGGGTACACAACAGTGTGAAGGTATTATGCAACTGAGCTATACAGCTGAAAATGGTTAAAATGGTAAATTCTATGCCATGTAAATTTTACGACAACTTAAAAAAAGATAAAGATAGATGAGCCTTAAGTCTTGGTCTTTATTCAGTTATTCAACTATAAATATTTCATTTCCTAGGTCATTTGGGGAGGCAATTTGTTCGAATTACCAATTTTCACCCAGTTCAGAAAGCGTATTAGCTTCTTCAACTTTTGTTTAATAATTGTAAATATTTAGCAACTCTTTGTACGTGTAAAGCACTGAACTGGGCACAATTGGAAAGCAACAGTGAATAAAACAGCATTTTCCTTCCATAATAAATGTGATTATTACCATTCCTTAAGCCTGTATTCTCTGATGAGCTCTCTCAGGTCAGCTTTATTATCCACATTGAATAGATGAGGAAATCAAAGTTCGGAGTAGGTTATCATTCTCCAACCTCAGGAAGAGATGGGAATTCAGGACTCAAACCTAGATCTGTCTGATTCTGTATACCATGCTCTGATATCCTGCCTGTAACTCTGTATGAGATAAGGTAAACTGCTGGGCAGGGCATGCTGCCATGGAGTTTCACCTAAATGCCACAGGAGCCCCAAAGAGCAGGGATGAATTCAGATGGGGATTCCTTAATGGAGGAGTCACTTGAGCTAAGTCTGGAAAGCAGAGGTAAAATGGAAATGCCTGAAGTAAAACAAACCTAGCACTAGACTGACTAGGAAATCAATGGATATGGTTAAAGGAGTAAAATATTTTTTTAAGATATATTTATTTATGTATACAAGAACTGGGGTACAGGCCAGATGTGCAGGGGGTGAGAGGATTCACCAGAGACAGAGAGGGGAGCAGAACAGGCAGATTGACTGAAATACACTGCTGAGGGGAGCAGCAGGCGAGTCAGGAGAGGTCTGCTGCGCCATGTGAGTAGCTCCCTGGCTGAGGATCAAACCTGTGCTGCAGTGGCTGCCAATAGCTTCACAGTGCTGGCACTTATCCCTTGCACCACCAGGGAGGCCCGGAGTAAAATATTCTGTGAGCTGCAAAAAAGAATTAAAAGATAGAGGCAGAAAAGTCTTTCATTTAAAATTTGTTATTTCTGGGCCTCCCCTGGTGGCGCAGGCAGTTGAGCACAGTGCCGTGAAGCTGTCCGCAGCCTCTGCAGCGCCGGTTTGATCCCAGCCGGCCAGCGAGGGTCCCACATGGCGCACAGACCTCTCCTGTCTCACCCGCTGCTCCCCTCAGCAGTGTATTTCGTCAGTCTGCCTGTTCTGCTCCCCACTCTGTCTCTGGTGAATCCTCTCACTCTCCTGCGCATCTGGCCTGTACCCCAGTTCTTGTATAAATAAATAAAATCTTAAAAAATAAAATAAAACAAAATTTGTTATTTCTAGGGCAAAAAAATAGGAAGTTGCTTTATTTAAACTTTGACTTCATAATTTTTCAAAAAAAGTGTCATATGACTTAAGTATATGACAAGTCTGTAAAAATCTACAATGAAGGAAGTGACACATATTTCAACACATGCAAGGGAAACACTTGAACCAAGTCACAGTGGGGAGATTGAGTGCCAAGATTTTTTCAATATTTCATACTTTTACCCATTTCAAACACAATTACTGAGGGCATGCTGCTGGTGAGTTGATAGTAGTGGAAAGAATAAACATTTCTTACAGGTTCTTTCCATATTGGTTATAACCAGTCAACTGGGTCCATATGAACAGCTGATCAAGATCTTTATAACCAGGGCCTCCCCTGGTGGCGCAGCGGTTGAGCACTGGACAGCCTCTGCAGCGCCGGTTCGTTCCCGTTTGTTCCCCGGCCTCGGCGGGGGGGGGGGGGGAAATCTTTATAATCTTGTATAGTGGCAGGTGTCACTATTGCCCTGGTGACAAAGGGGAAGTAATAAACTACTTCTCTTTAGTTCTACCTTGGGTGGTGGCAATGCTTAGCTTTCCTTTGCATATAGCCTCAGGGCTGTGTTCCCCACCTTCAAATTCTTTAAAGAGAGAGAATTTTAGTGTTCGCCACCCTCAAAGTCTTTAAAGAGAGAGAGACATTTAAGACTAAAAACTCGGGACCTCCCTGGTGGCGCTGAGTTAAAGACACAGCACTATCACGCTATCGCCAGCCATTGCGGCACAAGTTAGATCTGTGGCTGGCCTATTCTGCTCCCCACTCTCTCTGGTGAA